TCTACCAAAATTTCTTAAACCAGTTTTCAGCTCAAGAAAAAAATGGTCGTATATTTATTTTCTCATGAAAATTTACAGCAAAAGCAAAGCGCTTTTATCAAGCAACAGAAATTATAATAAATATTTCTTATGATTTCCTTGAGAGCTGGATTCTTAGCTTTAAGATACAGTTTGTATTTGAGGTTATTAGCTTTAGGGGGGGTTTGAACCCCAAAACCCACCCCTTGTGTGCGCTAATGTCGTATGTACATATGTATATAAAAAGTATGCATTAAAGCGTTGGAAAATTAGTTCAATAAAGTAGAATGGACTTTGCCACAGCGTACGGCAGTGCGCGCGTGTGACGAAAGCAGCCACAGTAGCATGCTGAAATGACTCGCTTATATTTACACGAGATTTGGAAGTTTTTATCCAGACGTCCAATCGACATGTTTTGGAAAGGTCTTGCAGAGGTAAAATTCTCGAGTGACGAAAGCTGAACTAGAAACACAAAATTTATGATATAAATTTCGTGACGAAAAGTATACTAATTTTTTAAGTGCCTTGGAAACGTACGGAAAATCTTTTTTTATTTATTCGGAACGTTGCGAAGTTCCGTCTACTGCTAGAAACACAAAATAAAAAACAGAACTTTTGCAATGAATCGTATGAATAAAAAAGATTTTTCGTACGTTTCCAAGGCAGTTAAAAAATTAGTATAATTTTCGTCACAAAATTTATATCATAAATTTTGTGTTTCTAGTTCAGCTTTCGTCACTCGAAAATTTTACCTCAAAGAGGTGTTTTATTTGATAATATAAAGACAACTACAAAAAATAAAGCGGGAACTAAAATTTAATTTGTTTTTAAATCCAAATACTTTACCAAAAATCTACCAAAATGAGAAAAAAATGTACCTTTTTACCAACCCAAATTTTTTCTACCAATTTTGGTAATAATTAACCAAAGTGGCAACCCTGCTTACACCGCAAGATTCAAGTTTTATTTATTTTTTATTTTTTGGAAGGGTTGCCACCTGTCTAAAAAACTATAAGATCCGCACCGTTCGTTGGATAACAAAAGATGAGGTGTCAAATGAAAGGGATTGGCTTCTAGAAAAGCGCTAATGTTTTAGTTTTTTGAATAGGGTTTCCACCTGTTAGTAAAATTATTATATTCAATCATAATAGGGCAGGCATCAGCTCTGCACCGTCACTGTCAAACGAAAAAACTTAGCCTCTACATGTTCAATAATGTATTATTTTTCTGAGTAGGGTTGCCATCTATTAGAAAGTTAAACGATTGTCNCATGTTTTGGAAAGGTCTTGCAGAGGTAAAATTCTCGAGTGACGAAAGCTGAACTAGAAACACAAAATTTATGATATAAATTTCGTGACGAAAAGTATACTAATTTTTTAAGTGCCTTGGAAACGTACGGAAAATCTTTTTTTATTTATTCGGAACGTTGCGAAGTTCCGTCTACTGCTAGAAACACAAAATAAAAAACAGAACTTTTGCAATGAATCGTATGAATAAAAAAGATTTTTCGTACGTTTCCAAGGCAGTTAAAAAATTAGTATAATTTTCGTCACAAAATTTATATCATAAATTTTGTGTTTCTAGTTCAGCTTTCGTCACTCGAAAATTTTACCTCAAAGAGGTGTTTTATTTGATAATATAAAGACAACTACAAAAAATAAAGCGGGAACTAAAATTTAATTTGTTTTTAAATCCAAATACTTTACCAAAAATCTACCAAAATGAGAAAAAAATGTACCTTTTTACCAACCCAAATTTTTTCTACCAATTTTGGTAATAATTAACCAAAGTGGCAACCCTGCTTACACCGCAAGATTCAAGTTTTATTTATTTTTTATTTTTTGGAAGGGTTGCCACCTGTCTAAAAAACTATAAGATCCGCACCGTTCGTTGGATAACAAAAGATGAGGTGTCAAATGAAAGGGATTGGCTTCTAGAAAAGCGCTAATGTTTTAGTTTTTTGAATAGGGTTTCCACCTGTTAGTAAAATTATTATATTCAATCATAATAGGGCAGGCATCAGCTCTGCACCGTCACTGTCAAACGAAAAAACTTAGCCTCTACATGTTCAATAATGTATTATTTTTCTGAGTAGGGTTGCCATCTATTAGAAAGTTAAACGATTGTCGTCGTTCGTTGGATTGCAAAATGAGATACCAAAAGAAAGGGCATGGCCTACGCATGTACAAAAGCTTTATTTTTTTAATAGGGTTGCCACCTACTGAACGGATTTAGACGAGATTTTTTAGGTATAATCTGTATTGATAGGAATATTATCTTTAGTCCTTTAAACTCCTATAATTCCTGTCTAAAAAATTATAAGATCCGCACTGTTTGTTGGATTACTAGAAATGTATTCAATAATGTCTTACTTTTTGAGTAGGGTTGCCACTTTTTAAAAATTATAAGATCCTCACCGTTGGACTAAAAACTGGGGTGCCAAGTGAAAGCATATGGTCTCTGCAAGTGCAATAAGGTTTTATTTTTTGTTTTAGTGGGGTTGCCACCTATTTAAAAATTATGTATGTATAATACGCGAGGGCATCTTCTGTTAATGACATTAGATTTGCACAGTTCATTCAATTAAAAAAAAAGAAGTGTCGAATGAAAAAGCTTGGCCTTCATATTTGCAGTAGAATAGTTGATATTATATCGATATATCGATATTGACGATATTTTTTGCTTCCGACACTAAATATTTCGGCACGATATTTTTGAGGACGATAATATCAATATTTTATGCACAAATATCGCCTTGTTACCAGAAAACATAGTGTGGCGAATACTGCGGCAACGCGAAGCGAACAACATGAAAATGGCAGAAAGTTCAGTTGTGTTAACAAGTTTTGTAAAGTGTTTTAATTGCCTTAACAAGTATTGTATTGTTGTTAATAATAATAATAGATTGGCGCTTACACATATGTTAGTGTTTGGCCGAGCTTCTCCTCCGATTTGTGGCGTGCGCCTTGATGTTGTCACACAAAGCGGAGGGACCTACAGTTTTACGCAGACTCCGAACGGCGATTGTATTTTTATGAGAAGCTGTTTTTCGTGGCAGAAATACACTCGGAGGTTTCCCATTGCCTGCCGAGGGACGACCGCTGTTAAGAAAAAACCTTTTTTTCTATATTTTTGCGATGTTGCTTTGACCAGGGTTTGAACCCAGGCATTGTGGAGTAGAAGCGCGCACTGCTTACCACTACACCACAGCGGCCGACAAGTAAACCACAGTAAACAAGTATTGTAAAGTGTTTGTTGCACAATAAAGTTAATTTTACTGTAATTTGGTCATCGTGAGTATTTATTTAACATTCCAGCGATACGAATCGAAAGGATTTTGGGAAATCCGTCAATTAAACAAAGATAATCGTAACAATAGTTATATGCTTTAGCTTACACCATAACTATACTTATTATATTTATATGGTTAATTTTTTACATCAGTTCAACAAACTTTAATATATTTATGTGAGTTAATCTGCGTAATTGCTTAATATACATATGTATTAATGAATGAATACATATCCTTATATATATTACAAAAAGTGGCCTTAAATACATCATGTTTGAAAACATTACCTACAGTCAGTCAATAAAGTTTAGGTACAGCGAAGCTTCTCAATACGGGCAACTATTTTTTAAATATTTTATTTTTCGCTCATTTTTTTATAAAAATATGGTTAATTCAACAACAAAAACCCCAAAAATCAGAGTTCCAAACCTTGTGCAAAATTAAAGAAAATTCTGCAAAATTTCATTCAAATAATGCACTTTTTATTTACGCTCTTTAGAAAAAAGTTGAGTATGAAGTTGTTTAGCCCCTTCAAATTTAATAAAGTGCAAGTATGAGGGAGCTAGGACTTACCATTGATTTTTGGAAAATTTTTTTGTTGAAGGTGTCGCACAGTTTTTCCATATAAAAAAATTATCAAACACTATTTTATATGGAGAAAATGAGCGACACCTTCTAATTCTAAAAATCAGTGGTAAGTCCTAGCTACCTCAAACTTGCACTCTGTTATACTAAAATTGTATGGGCTAAAAAACTGCGTACTCAACTTTTTTCTAAAGAGTGTAAATAAGAAGGGCAATATTTGGATGAAAATTTGCAGAATTCTCTTTACTTTTGCAAAGGTTTGAAACTCTGATTTTTGGGATTTTTATTGTGGAATTAACCATATTTTTATAAAAAATTTGCGAAAAATAAAATATTTAAAAAATAGTTGCCCGTATTGTACAAAATTCGCTATACCTAAACTTAATTGACTGACTGTAAGTTTTTTTTTATTAAAATACTGATAGTTAAATTTTTTAATTGTTGGAAGTCTTACAGGTAAAATGTTTACATGTACGAATGTATGTCTGCCAACAGATCTTTCACATTTGGAAAATGCAAAATAAATAATACTGTAAGTTATTCTTATTTCTTTTAACTATTATTGAACAAGGATTCTTAAATGTCATTGTGAAACTTCAAATATTTTTTTTTTAGTGCGATACACCGATATTATCGATACGACGATTTTTTCAATTTCCCAATTTGCAGTAAAGTTTTATTTTACGGAGAGGGTTGCAACCTGTGCGAAAAATTAAAACAATGTGGGCTGTTCGTTAGATTACTGGAAATGAGGTGTCAAATAAAATGACTTGGCCTCCAGATGCGCAATTATATATTATCTTTTTAGTAGGATTACAACCAGCGTAGTTGCCAATCACACCTTATTTAAAATCTGCACATTTAGCGCGTGGCATACGAGACCGGCTAGTATTAAAATAAACTTGACTTTATTTATTTAGTTCTTTTATTCCTAAGGTTATATTGACTTGGGCTTGCCTCGATTGAATCATTTAGGCACGCCACTGTTCTAGAGGTTTTACAATTTATCTCATTAACGCCTTTCTTATTATGCTGATAGCCTTTAAAGTTTATATAAAAACACTAATTTAATGTAAGTGAAAATTTTTTGATTGCTCTCATTTAGGGTTCATCAATTCAATAAAGTGGAGATGTTTGCAGTATGTACAGAAAACCAATCAGAACCTGTGCTGGAGAGTTTCAAGGAGACAGAAATTTCTTTATTTAAGCAGTTCAATTTAAGTTTTAGAGTTCTTGACATGCCTCCTACGGAGTTGGGTGCTTCAGCATTCCAAAAATATGATATTGAGGCTTGGTTGCCAGGCAGACAAATGTGGGGTGAAATCTCAAGCTGTAGCAACTGCACTGACTATCAAGCAAAACGTCTCAATATTAGATATCGAACGATAAATGGAGAGCTAAAGTACGCACACACAGTTAATGGGACTGCAGCTGCTATACCCCGGTTGCTTATAGCCGTAATTGAGTCTAACAAGGTAACTGGACTATTTAGATTGTTTCTTCGCTAACTCTTTATAATTTTATAGATTAAAAATGGATCCATTTTTCTGCCTAAAGAGCTGAAGAATTCTTTCAAAGCTGATGTATTACAACGAAACAAAGCGGTTCCAGCAATAAAACTTATCAAGCATTTCTGAGTATAGGTTTTATTAAAATCTAATAAAGTGCAAAGTACGAAAGTATGAGGGTTAAAAATTGTTTTATTAAAACAAGATGTACATACGTATGTATAAGGCAAGTGTAATAATATAGAGAATTAATTTAAAAAAAAAATTAATCATAAAAAAAATTCAAAACCAATAACTATTAGGTACTTACTAAAAAATTGTTTATTGTAGCTTAACCAACAGAGGTACATTGAACTAAAACACATAAACAGAAGTTCACAAAAGTTGATATAAAACTATTCGTAAATTTAAATAGTTAACTCTTTACTGCGCATGATTTTTTACGAGGAGGAAGCATGGAAAGCCTAAGGCCGAGGCCACGCCATGAGCGGCTGAGCGGTGGGCGGTGAGCGGCCGAGCGGCGCCATACGGAAATGCCGCTCACCGCTCAGCAGCTCGCCGCTTTGCCGCTCATTGCGTGGCCTCGGCCTAACCCCGTCAGTGTGAGACTTTAACCCAAATTAAACCTCCTACCGTCATTTACCGTTCCCCTCCCGGTACCACTGTCAAGTATTTCATCCGAATTATAACACTGTGACTGCTAAAATTAGATCCAGTGAAGAACAAAAAACATACATACTTAGAATTTTGAATACCCCCTCAAATCTGGGCTTAAGATCTAAAAACACGTTTGTCTTAGTTTGAGCCTTATAATTGTTCGTAACTTAATTAGTGTTTATCCGATGAAAAATATTTACAGTGCATACACGGTAACCGCAACCATCAAAATGTGCAATTCCTTGATTAATGCAAGTTTTTAAAGCAAGACATTGTAACCTTTATAAGTGCAACTTCAAAACAATTCAAGCTCAATACCTACAACATTCTTTATTAATGCATGCCACACACAAAATTTGAATTTTTGCCTTTCTTTGACTTTCCAGTATTCTGGAAAAACCAAAAAGGGGTCTTTCCGTTAAAGTGATATGCGCTGAGTTTAAAGTAAACAATGAAAGCAAAAGTAAAGATAAAAAATTTAGAAGCCGGACTTCAGAAACGGAAAACTTTAAAACAGTGCGAGTACCCAAAAAGGATTTACACAAGTGGTTTTGTTTTAAGAGAAAGTAAAATGTTCCCATATCTGTCCAATTTGTGAAAGCTAAAGCCCGCAAGTTACATAAAAATAACCAACTGAATTTTTTGCCGGACAAGACATACATTGCTGATGGGTCTAGACCATGCCTCGTTTGAGCAAATGCATCTGGGACGCACAAAGTTTTTCTTATTCTTCTTATTTCGCGCGATAACCGCCTACGCGATTTTGTGCAAACTGACGCCTATTTGGAAATGCCAAGTCCTTATCCACTTGGTCCTTCCATCGAAGTGGGCCTTCCTCTTCCACCATCGCGACCCGCGTTGAATACTTTTAGAGCTGGAGCATTTCTGTCCATTCGTACGATATGACCATGCCAGCGTAGCCGTTGTATTTTGATTCGCTGCACTATGTCCATGTCATTGTAAAGCTCATACAGCTCACGTTCCATCGTCTGCGGTACTTGCCGTCGCCAATGCGTAAAGGCCTATCTCTCGAAAACTGTAAGAGGCGCCTCATCACATGTTTTCATTGTCCATGCGTCCGCACCATAAACCAGCACAGGCATGGTGAGTGACTTATAGAGTAAGATTTTTGTACGGCTAGAGGACTTTACTTCTCAATTGCCTATTTAGTCCGAAGTAGCACTTGATGGCAAGAGTGATTCTGCGTTGAATTTCGGAAATTAAAGGAAATTCTCCACTTTCTCGAAATTATAACTGTAAAAATAGACGCGAGTGCCAAGGCGCGAATGCGCTGACTGTTTGCGTGATGACAGGAGATACTTCGTTTTGCCCTCGTTCACCACCAGACCCACACGCTTTGCTTCTCTATCAAATTCCTAGAAGGCAGAACAGACGTAGCCCTTATTTGTAACAATAATGTCGATGTCGTCGGCATCCGCCAGTAATTGCACGCTCTTGTAAAGTATTGTGCCTGAGCGGTTCAGTTCTGTCTTATTATCTTCTCCAACATCAGATTAAAGATATCACACGAAAGGGAGTCACCTTTTCTCAAACCTCGACTGGTATCAAACTGATCGGAGAGGTCCTCCTCAATTCTGACTGAGCTGGTGGTATTGCTCAACGTCATTTTACACAGCCGTATTAGTTTCGCGGGGATACGAAATTGAGACATCACAAAATAAAGACAACTTCTTTTCGTGCTGTCGAAAGCGGCTTTGAAATCGACAAACAGAAGGCATGTGTCGATCCTATTCTCGCGGGTCTTTTCCAAGATTTGGCGTATTTCGAATATGAGATCTATGGTGGATTTGGCAGATCTGAAGCCACACTGGTAAGGCGCAATCAGTTCTTTGACGGAGGGCTTCAATCCAGGGCTGCCAGACGTTTAGAGTCTAAAATCCGTACATGAACAAAAAGTGGTCTGTGAAAAATCCGTACGCTCAAATTGGTTTTGCGAGCAAAAAAAAAACATGTGTGTACTGTGCACTCCCGGTAAAAGTAAAACCTTCATAAAATCATCGGAATTTTATTGTAGTCTTCTGGTGTGTGTTTTATTAAACTCTCGTGGATTAATTCAATAATTTTAGTTACTGGTTGATTGAGAGAATTATAAATTGCCACAAATATTACTGTTCTCTCATGGTCCAACCTGCTTTCAAAAGCAAATAAGAAAAGACATTGATTCCAGTTTTTGTGAATTGAGTTCTATTTGTGGAGAACTATACGAGCTCCATCATGTGGTTATGGTTTATTACAGCTCCGCCTGCTCTCGTCATTGGGCTTTTAAATTGAATTACTGTATCAATATTAGGAATCTCTAAAGCTCTCTCATTATCCACCCACGTCTCTAAAAGAATTAGAAAATTCGACGATGATGCTATTCTGACTAATTGAAGATCCTGTACGTGAACGCGTAAACTTTAGCAATTGAAGATAAACAGTATCAACCCCTTGCTTGCATTATAACATCATATTTATAATAATTGTTCAATTGTTTCAAGTCGATTCAGATGCAGCCTTTGAAATTCAGCTTGCAACTCAGTTGTGCATACTGTTGCTCTCCGACCATGACACAATTTTCTATACTTTTATTTATTTATTTTATTTTTGAAACGAGATTTAGCTGTGGAGCGTATACGATCTCACCAAATGACCTCGTTATCGCACACGCAGAGACAAGAGGAAAATGGTCACGCTTTACCATTACGGTTCTATCAGGCTATCGAGGATGTCCTGCGATCTATTGGTACCACCAGTGGAGANCTTTTCTCAAACCTCGACTGGTATCAAACTGATCGGAGAGGTCCTCCTCAATTCTGACTGAGCTGGTGGTATTGCTCAACGTCATTTTACACAGCCGTATTAGTTTCGCGGGGATACGAAATTGAGACATCACAAAATAAAGACAACTTCTTTTCGTGCTGTCGAAAGCGGCTTTGAAATCGACAAACAGAAGGCATGTGTCGATCCTATTCTCGCGGGTCTTTTCCAAGATTTGGCGTATTTTGAATATGAGATCTATGGTGGATTTGGCAGATCTGAAGCCACACTGGTAAGGCGCAATCAGTTCTTTGACGGAGGGCTTCAATCCAGGGCTGCCAGACGTTTAGAGTCTAAAATCCGTACATGAACAAAAAGTGGTCTGTGAAAAATCCGTACGCTCAAATTGGTTTTGCGAGCAAAAAAAAAAACATGTGTGTACTGTGCACTCCCGGTAAAAGTAAAACCTTCATAAAATCATCGGAATTTTATTGTAGTCTTCTGGTGTGTGTTTTATTAAACTCTCGTGGATTAATTCAATAATTTTAGTTACTGGTTGATTGAGAGAATTATAAATTGCCACAAATATTACTGTTCTCTCATGGTCCAACCTGCTTTCAAAAGCAAATAAGAAAAGACATTGATTCCAGTTTTTGTGAATTGAGTTCTATTTGTGGAGAACTATACGAGCTCCATCATGTGGTTATGGTTTATTACAGCTCCGCCTGCTCTCGTCATTGGGCTTTTAAATTGAATTACTGTATCAATATTAGGAATCTCTAAAGCTCTCTCATTATCCACCCACGTCTCTAAAAGAATTAGAAAATTCGACGATGATGCTATTCTGACTAATTGAAGATCCTGTACGTGAACGCGTAAACTTTAGCAATTGAAGATAAACAGTATCAACCCCTTGCTTGCATTATAACATCATATTTATAATAATTGTTCAATTGTTTCAAGTCGATTCAGATGCAGCCTTTGAAATTCAGCTTGCAACTCAGTTGTGCATACTGTTGCTCTCCGACCATGACACAATTTTCTATACTTTTATTTATTTATTTTATTTTTGAAACGAGATTTAGCTGTGGAGCGTATACGATCTCACCAAATGACCTCGTTATCGCACACGCAGAGACAAGAGGAAAATGGTCACGCTNCAGAAGGCATGTGTCGATCCTATTCTCGCGGGTCTTTTCCAAGATTTGGCGTATTTCGAATATGAGATCTATGGTGGATTTGGCAGATCTGAAGCCACACTGGTAAGGCGCAATCAGTTCTTTGACGGAGGGCTTCAATCCAGGGCTGCCAGACGTTTAGAGTCTAAAATCCGTACATGAACAAAAAGTGGTCTGTGAAAAATCCGTACGCTCAAATTGGTTTTGCGAGCAAAAAAAAAAACATGTGTGTACTGTGCACTCCCGGTAAAAGTAAAACCTTCATAAAATCATCGGAATTTTATTGTAGTCTTCTGGTGTGTGTTTTATTAAACTCTCGTGGATTAATTCAATAATTTTAGTTACTGGTTGATTGAGAGAATTATAAATTGCCACAAATATTACTGTTCTCTCATGGTCCAACCTGCTTTCAAAAGCAAATAAGAAAAGACATTGATTCCAGTTTTTGTGAATTGAGTTCTATTTGTGGAGAACTATACGAGCTCCATCATGTGGTTATGGTTTATTACAGCTCCGCCTGCTCTCGTCATTGGGCTTTTAAATTGAATTACTGTATCAATATTAGGAATCTCTAAAGCTCTCTCATTATCCA